GGCTGGAGAGATGGCTCAAAGGTTAAGAGCACTGGCCGTTCTTTCAGAGTGATCTTAGTTCAATTCCCAGCACCCGTACGGCAGCTCACAACTGTCCATAATTCCACTTCCAGAAGATCTGGTACCTTCACATAGCCATACATACCAGCAAAACATTAATATACATAAAAATAAATAATCTTCTTTTAAAAAAAAAAAAGACAGAAAAAAAAAACCACCTTAAATCTGGACATAAAAACTGTTTAAAAAAAAAAAAGAAGAAGACATAAGCAGTACACTGCATTTCACAGTCCACACTCCTCAAAGGAGAAGGGCTCCTAGGAATGTACAGAGATGTGCGCATGTGTAGGAAGAAAGACAAACGGAGCCTCCATATACCTCCTGAGGAGATAGCCTGCTCCACCCCACCACTCCCACGGGCACCAGCCCCAGCCCCAGCCCCACACTAATGTTTTCCCAAATCACTTAGAATGGACTTCATAAGAATCCCTTCTTCCTGCCAGCTGCGGTGGCACAGGCTTTGATCCCAGCACTCAGGAGCAGAGGCAGGTAGATGGCTGTGAGTTCCAGGTCAGCGTGGTCTGCGAAGCAAGTTCCAGGCTGGCCATGAAAACGCAGTGAGACCCTGTCTCAAACCAAAAGAAGGGTCCCTTCTTCCTGAGGCATCTAACTGGTTCCCCTCCACAAGGGCCCGTGGAGGTGTGTTTTCCTCCACCCTTGGGGCACCTAAAAGTGAGGGTGACTAAGGCAGGAAACAGGGTCTTGTGTGAGAGGAGTGACTCACTCAGGGTGTCTGGAAGAGGGAATGTGGTCTGGTGAGAGATAAGATCATAGGCTTCCTCTGGACTCTACACCTGAGCCAGAACGTCCCAGGGGTGAGGGTGGTGAAAAGGACCTATAAGCGTTGTCCGCGTCTCCTTTTGCAGACACACTGGCTGCCAGCTGAGGTTTAAGTGAGAACCCTGTGTGTCAGTGTCAAGATGCTATGCTCGGAATCTCTGAATTCCTCTTCCCTGGCTCGGCGTTCAACACAAGAAACCAGGGCTTCCAGTAAATAACCTGAGAGCAGGCTTGGTAGAATCAGCCCTGAGCACACCCAAAAGTCCAGGCTGGCTTCTGGCCCAAAGGTTGAAGACCTTCCCCAGGACATCAAGGATCTTAATTTCCGTCCTTACTTTAACAGTAGCCTTAAGTGGATGTGGTAGCTCACCCCTGTAATCTTAGCATGTGGGAGGCTAAGGGCAGACGATGATGAGTTCAAGGCCAATTTTGTGAGACCCCCACCTACAAAAGCAAATAAATAAATCTAGCTCAAACACTAACTGAAGAGATAATTTTGAATGATGAGGCCTGCTATGTTTAGAATAAGTTGGGAGCTCTCGTTTAAGCTGGGGGAGTCAAAGGGCTTTCGTTGCTGGTCCCGTTAGAGAAGAAGAAGGAACATGAAGAAGAGGTCGTGGAGGAGGAGGAAAAAGGGGTGTGAGTACACCAGCCACTTCCAAAGGAAGTAGACACAGGCACCTGCCACAGGTGCCTCAGCATCTGGTGGTCAAGGCGATAGAGGGGCCAAGAAGCAATTCAGGCTGGAAGGGGCAACACAAAGAAAAGAGGTGGTGGGCCTGGAGCTTGGGGTGGGGGGGGGGGACAGCAGATTAGGCTCAGCAGAGGTGTATACACACTAGTGCAGTTTCCTCAGGGGTGGGACACAGGGCCTAAGCATCAGTCACACCCAAGGAGAAGGCCTGATCTGACACTGGAGCTTGGCCTTGACAGGCTCCAGGCCCTCTTCGCCACCTCAGGCCTGGCTGGGCTCCCCACCAGCCTCACTTCACCCTGGTAGAAGACTTTCTCCAGAGCTCTTGTTTGAAGCTCCAAGTCAGCCAGCCCCACCCTAGGATGAAATCTGAGACTGGGGATGGAGCCCTGAGCCTCTTGCTGTTCCCAAAAATCACTCCCATTTCCCCATTTTCGACAAGAGCATAGCTCCCTACTCGTTCTTTGAGGCTGTACTCCTGTCCCACCTCCTCCACAAAGCCTCCAACTCGGCAAACCTTCCCAGACCCCCTCTGATCACTTTGCTTTGCCCTCCCTATCACCAGGAATGAAGAGGTGATGAGGGACCCCGATTCTTCCTGGCTTATGCTGTGTAAAGTCATGTACTCTTGGATCCTTCTTGCTTAGGATGTGATCTCTTTAAGGACAGAGCTCTGTCTGGAAAGTCTCTGCATCTCCCACATCACCAAACCCAGCCCCGAGACAGATCAGGAAATATACATCACTAAAGGGATAGGAGACACAGAACAGGGTCAGGGAGATGCTAGCTTTTCCTAAAATCCAAGTCCATACCCTCTCAAAAAAGAAATGAATTAATAGCCAGAGGCATAGAGCATGGGGGTGGGGGGCGCAGACATTTATTTAGTGCTTACTGCATGCTAATGATAAGGGATTTAATATATTCTCAGATTTAGCTCTTACCACCACCTCTGTGAAGTGATGTATTGTCGGTCCCGTTTTACTAATGAGGAAACTGAAGTTCAGACACCATGCTTAGCTTTCCTGGTGGTTAATGAATCCTTCAGAGTCCATGCCCTGCTCATTCTTCCTCCTGCCCTCCTACCACACACAATGAAACTTCTAATGTCCTGATTTGCCCACAGCCCATCAGGCATGGAAGAGGAAAGACTGAAGAGTTTAGCTTGTCCTGATCACACTAAAATGGTCCCTATCCCACCCAAGGATGGATGCAGCAAGGAGAGTCCCTCGATCAAGCCCCCCTGTGGTCAGGACTAGAGCTGCCTGTCCCAAAATTCTGTGTCCACTTCCTTGGGTCCCATTCCCTGGCTCTAATTCTTCACAGACAGGCTGAAGTCAGAAGCAGGAAGTTGAGGAAAAGTTGTGACATCTTGTCCCCAATGTGTTCCAGGAAGCCTTTTCAGGGACATCAATCAGGCCAATGGCCTGAGTGCCTGGTCATCTGGTCACTCCAAGGGGATCAAAGCAGGAGGATCCCCATGAGCAAACATCTCTCTCTCTCTCTCTCTCTCTCTCTCTCTCTCTGCCCTGACCTTGACTAATTAACCTCAGCTGTCTGTGGGGTGAGAGGGCCGATGTTCAATATACGAGTTCTCTTTGTGTGGCTCATTTGCCATCCCAACTTGGCTCTGGCACAGCTCTCCTGGCACACAAGGGCACAGGTAAGCCCTCTCCTGGGCCAATTTCTCTGACGTTGACAGCTGTCTCTTGAGTGCCCCAAGAGCTGCTGCAGCTGGCCAGATTCATAGGATTGCCCACAAAGGAGTATTCCATGGAACACCCTGGAAAACGTTCTCCTTCCACTGGGCTCGGCAGCCGGGAAATCTATTCCTTCGGAGCTGCAGGCCTTCTGGGCATCCAACCAGACAGATGTGCAGCCCACTGGCAAACAGACAAGCAGGCAAACACCACTATTTCACAAAGCAGGAGGTATAGGGGAGAAGGGACACACACACACACACACACACACACACACACACACACACACACACCCAGTGGAGAAAAAAGCCTCCCTGCCAGCGAGATTCGTTGGGACCCAGGGAGCTTTCCCCAGGACTCCTCTGCGAAGGCAAGCGGCAGCCGCAGCAGTTTCCACAAACAGCAGCAAAACTTCAGTCCTAAAAGTCCCCCAAACTTCCCCCTCCCTTTCTCCCTCGGTCTTTTGTTCCCCCACTGCATTGCCAACCAAGCAGCTCCCAGCTTCCCACACTGGACTGTCCTCTCCCAACCCAAACCCCAACCCCTGGCCGGCCCGCAGCCTCGATCCCAGCCTGTCCAAGCCCGGCTTCCGTGCGCCCCTGGGGGAGCCGGGGGTTCGCTCACCCGCCTTGCAGGGGTCTTTGTAGTTAAGGAGCTCCGGGGCGTCTTCCTCGCCCAGGTCGTAGGTGTAGTCGGCCAAGTCCAGCGGCCGGCCGGCGCGCGGGAGCAGCAGCAGCAGCAGCAGCAGCAGCGGCAGCGACAGCGGCGGCAGCGGCGGGCGGGCCACGCCGGGCATGCTGGCGGGTGGCTGTGGCGGTCGCGCCCGGACGCGGGAGCGGGGCGACGGGGAACGGATCGCTGGAGAAGGAGGGGAGGCGCTCTCCCCCCGCAGCCACCTCTTCCCGTCCCGTTTCCTGTCTCCCGCCCCCCTCCCCGCTCGGCCCGGCTTGCTCCGGCCCTGGGCTCCGGCGTCCCCCAGCCCTCGGCTCGGTCGCTCCTTTTCTTTTCTCGCCGCCCTCCCACTCCCCACCCCCCCCTTTTAGGGAAATGAGCTCGCTGGAGGGCGGGTTTTCGCCCAGCTCAGCCCCCCTCGGGGCCGGGACCGTGCTCGGCCGGGCCGGGAAGCGCGCCAGCCGGGCGGGGAGGGCGAGAGCAGCGCCGCCCGCCCCGGAGGGGGATCCGCTGCCTGGGGCCGGGGCCGGGGAGGGGGCAAGGGCCCGGGATGCCCGGAGGCACCGCTCCGCCAGGGGCCCCCTAGTGGCTGCTGTCCTGCTCGGAGCAGAGCGCCTCCGGGCACGGGACACGCTGTCAGGTCGGTTTCTGTCTTTGAATCCTTGGACCAACGATCGTTCTCGACTCAGCCTGATACTCCGAAGTCTGTCTGTCTCAGACCTCCTCTCTCTCCTCTCTCGCTTCTCGCTGTCTCTCTGTCTGGCTGTCTCTCTGCTGTCTCTGTCTCTGTCCTTCCCTGCGGGCACACCGCTGGAGGGCGCCTAACACCCGTGTATGGAGCCCAGGTCCTGTCCCCCCCACCCCCATCCCCGCCTTTTGCCGGCTTCTCCACCACCTAGGGTAGGGACAAATCCCCATCACTCTTAGAAAGGATGTGGCAAAGCGCCCCAACTCCGCCAAACCTTCTCCTTCCCAGGACGGCTCCTGCTAGGAGCGGAACTGGGGAAAATGTGGAAGGAAAGAAGTGCCACTCTTTGTTTTTCAATCAGGCTGCTTTATTCTTTTGTGGCAGGAGCCCCCTGGCCCGTAGGGGACACCTCTCCTCCACGGACTTCTACCCTCTCCTGTCGGGTATGGGCAGGAGCAGCTTCCTGCTTGTCTGTCAAAGACTCTTGGCCGGGGGTCTTTCCTTTCCCTCTGCGTTTGCCACCGACCCTGTAAAGCAAAGAACCGATGTTTATCAGGTGAGGGAGGGGGCGATTGCTGCTGGTCTTTCCTGTCCCGAAGGAAGGAACAGGTCCCGTTTCCTACCGACCCTGTGACACAGAGCTTAGCATGTGAGGGAGGGTGACTGAGGAGTAGCCTGCTTGATTCCGACTTGCGTGCGCTGTGTCTGTGAACCTTTCACCCTCAGAGCTCCCCAGATCACTGACTCCAAGAGATCCCTAATAGATCCCCTGGCAAAGGAAGCAGCCCAAGACCTCCTGGTGTTGCTCAGGCACCCTGAAAGATACTGTTGCTCACCTGAAGCGTCCTAGATATAATATAGCGGCAGCTCTCCACACAAGGTGCTCACAGCAAGGCCTAGGAAAGCCACGTCCCTCCCGGAAGAACCAGCATCATGCCCTTCCTCCTGGCCCAGCCTGGAGGTGGGTGCTGAGGGCTTGGCCTGGAAAGAACACTACATTCAATCTCACCCGAAGTCCTTACTGTGGGACCCAAAGCTAGCTAGCCAGGCAAATTCTTGAGGCTCAGTATGGAGGGACTGGGCTGGAATCAGAAGCCCATGGGTGTTGTCTGGGCTCAGCCAAGGCCAGCTGAGAGCTGGTGGGAAGGAGCGACACAGGTGAGCATAGAAAGGAGAACACATTGGGCCCAGGAGAATCAACACTACATAGGTGGCCCTAGCCATCATTTCAAATATTCCCCAGCCCTTGGAGGGAGACAGCTTACTCCTTCCGCTCACACACCCACCTGGAAGTTCTGGGATTTTCTAGTGAAAGCCTCAAGGCTAGGGATGTTCTCTGGAGACATCTTCATGATATAGCAGCAGGTTCCCGGAGCTGGCTTATAGGCAGTCAGGAGCTAGAATGACACAGGAGGTCATTCGGGAAGGTCCCTTGCCTTACTCACTTCCCAACTCAGACATCTTTCTTTAGATTAGCCGTGGGAGTAACATTCCAGTCTGTGATTCAAGCCCCTGAGGGGAAGCAGCCAGGCACAGGATGGAGAAAGACCTCTGGAAAGGAGGGGGTACAGTGAAGGGAAGTTCCAGTAAAGTTGTGTTGGTCCCTCAAGCACGCTCACCCTCTGGAAGTCGTACACAACAATGCCACTGGAGCCAATGGAAAAGGTAGCAATGGTGTCCACGTGCTCACTCAGGGCTAGACGTTTCTGAGTTTCCGGTGCTCCAATGCTCATCTCGAGGACCTAGGGAAAGGGTGTCAGGGTGCTGCCTGGAATTCCTCTTTCTTCTCTCAGCATTTTGGTACCCGGAGCCCAGAGCATCTATCTACCCAGAGCCCTCTTTCCTTCTTCCCTGGGATCTGGGGAAGGCTAAACATAACAGGTGTTGGAGTGACTGCTGGTTATCACACTGTAGGCCAGGGCCTGGGAAGGAAACGTCTACGCTGGACTGCTACCCCATCTCTGTTTGTGCCACCCAACATATGCTGTAGCTGGTCCACTCCCTTCTCTCGAACAGCTGCCCATCTGCCCATCCCAGTCAGCCCTCTGTCTGACATGCCCTGTGGTTACTATTTGCCTGCTCACCATCTCGGTATGTTTCTGACTCATGTGAAGGCCCATGAGCAGGGCCCCTACAATCACCACCACAACAAGGACCACCACCACCACCACGATGAGCAGGCGCTTGAGATGCACGGGGCAGCAGGGGATGCGGAACTGGCTCCTGGGACCTGCTGAGTAATCCTGAGAAAGTGGGGAAAGCAGAGAAACAAGCAGGCAGGTGAGCGGATGTCCCTGTCCTCTCCCTGCACAAGCTGGCCACCCTCTAATGCCTGTTGAGGCTATGAATGTGCAACAAAGGACCGGTGAGTTCAGAGAAGGCTTTGGGGAAGGTGGCTGGACTCTTAACAAAACCATAGACACTTGGAAAGTTAGAAGCAAATTGTAGGTTTGGAACAATCCAAGAGAGCTGGTTACCAATCTCATCTTCCGCTTCCCCGCTTCCGTTTCTGAGCACCCCAGACATAGCCAAAGTTTTCGTACCCTCAAAGGATCCAGGTAGCACCACCTTCATGCTTTTACAGAGAGTCCCTTTTCCTTCCTTCCCATTCCAGTTTATGGGTCATCTTCTTATTTTTTACATTTACTTATTTGGTGTGTGTTTGTGTGTGTGTGCGTGTGTGGGCAAGCACGCATGCATAAGTTAGAAACAATCTCTCTCCTTCCATCATGTGAGTTCCAGGGATTAAACTCAGGCTTATCACATTTGGTGGCAAGTACTCCTACCTGCTGAGCCGTTCTTCTCCTTTTTTTTTTTTTAAAGACCCAGGCTGCTTTTCAACTCTTTATATATCTAAGCATTACCGAATGACTTCCAAACTGTGTGCACGCCCATACCTGGTTTGTGTGGTATGGGGGACTGAACCCAGGTCCCTGTGCTTGCAAGGCCCTCTACCCACCGATCTACATCCCAGCCCCACATGTCGCTTTCTCTGTGAGGCTTCCTATGGCCTCCCAATACTTGGTGGCTCTATCAGTATTCTTCACAGGCCTTTCTATGGACTCTTACGGTGGCTCTCAATTCCTTTCTACAGGAACTCATGGCTACCGTGCCTGCCTCTGTAAGGGACTCTTAATGATCATGATGTCTTCATTGTAACAGCCAACTCTAAGCTAGATGAGCATCTGAGTCTCAAAGAAGAAAAAAAGCCTATAGAGGATGGAGCAGGCAAATTTAGTACACTTATATACATACGTACGTATGTATGTATACAAACACATACACACACACACACACACACACACAACCACACTCACCGGTGGACTCTCCATCAAGACCTCCTTGCTACCCACATCCATTTTGTAGACTCTCTCTCCTCTCCTCATCTCTCTGGTGTGACCAGTGTCTTATATATCACCAGCGAGAGAGAAAGGACAGAGGTGAAGGACTAGATCTCCTGTCTGCCAGCCAAGTCCTTGGCTTTGAAGCTTGTTTGTTCCTGGCTTCTTAGAGGCTAGGCCCTGATAAGCCAGCTGCAAGAGCCCCCAAGGGCCCTTGGCCTAGGCACATGAATCCTCTTGGCCCAACAAGAGCAAACCTGGATGAGGTGAGCAAACTCACCCTCAGGCCACCTGCTCCTCTCTCCGTGGGTGTCTTTCTGGCATGTCTGCTTCTCCTGCTGGCATCTGCCTCTGCAGCCCTGTGGCTTCTCTTCTTCTGACAGGCCAAACTGTTCAAGCAGCAGCCAAGAATCTGGCCATCCCTTTCCACGAGATAATCTCCATTCAGGGACTGAGAAAGTGGTGCTTACTGAGAGGGGGTAGAAAGGTATCTAGTGGAAGGACAGGGCCTGGGGCAGGACCTGGGAGTCTGTTCTCGTGGCTTCCTAGATAGGCTCAGATCCCTCTTTACCTCCCCCCACACGTGTTGTCCCTAACGTCAGATTTGCCCCAGTCATTTTCCCAATTCTGGAAACTCTGTCCCCACTAATGGGAAACTCTTACCCATGGGTGATGAGTGCTTTTTCGTTCTTTGCTCTGGGTTTGTCTTTCTATTTAACTCTCTGATGGCTTATTCCATACCTTACTCTTGGCCTTCTAGTGCTGAGGATCAAATTTAGGGTCATGAGCTCGCTTGGGAGGTCCTCTACCACTGAGCCACATCCCCAGCCCTTGATACTTTCTTAAGCCAACATAACCTTGCACAGGACTGCATGTGATCCCAGCCACCTCTGCTCCTCTACTGCTCTATCTACCCTTCTGTCCTCCTTTTTCATAACTTCTAAATGAGCCCATGTAATTTGACCAAATCCCACCCACTTTCACGACCTCCTCTTTCTGCCTGCTCCTCACCTTCTCTCTTTTCCCAAATTCTCTTCTGTGCCTTGGGGTAATATGTCACATCTACCACTGACTTAGGATTGCCTGCGCCCTTTCAACTTGGGGTTGGATACATGCCCCCAACTCCCTTTTAAAGATCTATTTATTCTATTTATTTATCTATTTATTTATCTATCTATCTATCTATCTATTTATTTATTTATTTATTTATTTATTTTTATGTGTATGAGTATTTTGCCTGCATGTCTGTCCATGTGCCTTCTAAATGCCTGGTGCCCTTGGAGGTCAGAAAAGGAAGTTGGAGCCACTGAAACTGGAGTTACAGACAGGTGTGAGCTTCCATTCGGGTGCAGGATATCAAACCTGGATCCTCTGGAAGAGTAGCCAGTGCTCTTAATCATCGAGCTATCTCTCCAGCCCCTCCAGTTCCCTTTTAGTTGTTGACCAGCTGGTCTCCAAAAATCTTTGCACCTCTGAACCTTTACTAAGAGTAAGCCAGGTCCCAGCACTTCCCTGCAGTGACCTGACACTCTGTTCTCCTATACAGATGCCCCTTATTGTCTTCCAGGTTGTTTCCAGGACCCTTCATGGACATGCCAAATCCACAAGTGTGCAAGTCTCTTGTGCAAAACAGCCTAGAGAAGTCACATACCTATGCATCCTCTCACATACGCTTCAACGATTGCCTGTGAGTAACCAACAACTCTTTAACTTGACTTAACTCCCTCAATGGGAGGGAATCTGTACCTGGTATTGGAAACCTAGCTAACTACTCCGTGCTAGTGGAGTCATGGTTACTGGAGGAGAATCTACAACCACTAATTCACTAAACCAGCATAACCCCTAGCAGCAATCTATAAACATTTGTTCTTACACCCACAGATAAGTGTAGTTGCCGCCTCTCATCAAGGAAACCTCTCTCTGCAACAGAAACCATTATAGAAAACCACAACCAGTCAAAATTCAGAGTCGTGGAGCCCAGTCTCGATGGATACACATACAAAACACTTCACACCTAAAGCTCAGGGAACAGGAAAGGCTGGAGAGAGGCTCACAAGGGAGAATAAGAGGAGACAGAAAGACTGTAAGGACAAGAGAATCAGCATCAGGAATTCGCTGTGAGACCGTGTCTCCTAGTACTATCAGAAGCTTCACCCATGAAGTCTCACCCACATGACCACCCAAATGGGAGGAACAGCAACAAACACCCCAAACTGGATGGGGAAAAGCCCACAAGGCTTAAATCCTACACGGAGAGCTACAGGCAACTGGAGAGAGGTGGGCATGAGAAAGAGGACCTTCTCCAGGGGAAGAGCGTACCGATTGGTATTCCAGTTGCTGGATGGTCAGCCTTGAAAACATACATATGATATAAAAAAAAAAAAATTTAAAGAAAAAAGTTTTAAACTCTTCAAAAAGAATTGTGTTTGAGATTTATGCTTTGCCTTCATGTGTATTTGCGCACCACACGCAGGCAGGGCCCAGGGAGGCCCTGGAATGAGTCAGATCTGCTAGAGGTGAAGTTGAACTGCTGTAGTGGGGAATTGAACTCTGGTCCTCTGCAAAGAGCAACAAATGCTGCTGACCTCCGAGCAATTTCTCGGACCCTCGTTTTTTTATTTTAAGACAACCGTATCCCCCCGCCACCACCCCAGGTTGGCCTAAAACTGGTGGCAATTCTCCTGACGTAGCCTCCTGAGTGCAAGGTTACATGTGAGTGCCACCATGCTCAGCTCCATCTACCGTCGAATCTGTGAATGCCAAAGTTAGAGATACAGACAACCAGATGGACTTGGACTTTGAAATGTCACCCTGCTTTTTGGTCTATGCCTTGGGCTCCCTAGCCCCTTGCCTTTGATCATGAGCTGGGCCCCTTCTTCTCCAGCCCTGGCAGCCTTCCCTGTTCCCCAAGGATCCCCTCTCCAGCTGGAGGGCCTCCGTCTCAGGGCTGTGCAACAGCACGGTGGAGTCTGAGACGAGAGCTCCTGAGGTTTTTAGTGGAGGAGAGAAGGAAGGAAATGTTTGCTCCCACTGTCCTCCTCAGTCCTCTAAAGGCTCCCTTAAATATTTGCCTAAGCCTCCCATGGCTCAGCAAAGTGTCTTAGGATGAATGGAAGAAGTTGGGGGGAGGGAGGCGCTGGGGGAAGTAAAGGAGGGGGGAAAGTGACTGTCCTCTCCCCTTGGTTGTGTGCAGGTGACAGATGTAAAAGACAGCCTGCTTACACTGTCTACACTGCCCCTCTGCCCATCCCCCAGGCTCCCACTCCTACCCTGGGTTGTCCTGGAAACCTTGAGATTGATGGCTGACTCACACACACTGGGCCTAGGCCAGGTGGGCAGCTGGCCAGCAGGAGAGCCAAGAAGAACTACAGGCATCTCGGGGTCCCTGTGGGCATTTCGGGGGGCCGCAGTGTCCAGTTATGATACTTAATTCTGAACGGGAGCCACAGCTGGGGCTTGCTAGCATCACTGAGTGTGGGAAGAACACCTCTGTTCTCTCTCAGGTCTTCGGATTCTCCTGCAGGTTGCCCTTGGGCTGGGTTCTCATGGCATCATGACTTTAAAACAACAGCAACAACTTGTTTTTGTCTGTTTGGAGCCTGGGGAAAGCTGTTGTCAAGCTTCCTTCAGTGAATTTCAGATGTTTCTCAACACCTGGTAGGGGTCTTGGGTTCCCTGGAGAAGAAGGAAGAGGGGAAAAGAGGGAGTCAGTCGGGAAGGAGGGATGCTGTCTCTTCAGCTGGGCATACACATATCTCAACCTTGCTCCCAGACCAGCCCTGGGGTACAGCCTTCTTTAACTGCTCTCACTGGGACTGGCACTCACCTTAAAAGGCCAAGTCTAAGTGGCACCTGCTCTATGACATCTCCATCTTAGCCCCAGACTCTGAAATGCTGTCACTAACCACCTGCCTCCAATAGCTTACCTGCCGTTTGGCATATAGAATGTTAGCTGAAATCCATTATGAAAGGTGGGAAGAGGGTTTTCACCCTGTGTTCCCAAGTGGAAGGAAAGGAATACATTGAGTATGTTTTCTTTGTGCTTCTATGAACCTGTCACAGGGCAAGGCGCATGTGCACAGCCCATGTGTGATCATTTGCAACCACAACTCATGTTTGTGACCAAACATGAGGAGTCTCCTCCCACAAGTCCCTAATGCCTTCCTTTGGTACATGAGATCTGTGTTACCCCTTGAAGCTCTGGAGCCTGCAGGAAGTCCTGCTTTTCTAGACTTCACTGTGTTCGTCTCTGAAACCGGACTACCACCGCCCGGCTTCCCCTGCTCACAGAGCTGTCCTGACACTTCAGCGACGTCATGGACATGAAGGGCCAGTCGTCATTGTCAGGGGTCCCTCTCACTAGCTGAGTCTAGGATCCAGACTCCTCCCCCTTGTCTCCGGGTTGCCCTCTGTGACAGCTCACAGCGGCCACTATCCTTCCCCTGCTCCCAGCCCCTCAGCTGCGCAGCCCAGGACGAGATTCACTCTGCCCTTTGTGTGCTGGGCAGAGCCGTGCCAGGGACGAGTGGGGATGGCTGTCCAGCTGCCCCAGCCATCCTCCCTACCCCTCCTTGCTCGTCTTCCTCAAGCTGGCACACACAAGACAGCATGAGCAACTGGACCAGCAGAGGCTAGTGGGTGTCAAAAGGCAGAAGTGTCCCAGTCTGGAAGAAGGGGAACTTTAACTCAGAGCCGAGGTTCCCCTGCTGGCTGAAGCTGGGAACGATGGCTTTTCTTCTCCTTCTCCTTCTCCTTCTCCTTCTCCTTCTCCTTCTCCTTCTCCTTCTCCTTCAGTGGGGTTTCACTACCCAGACTAGCCTTGAACTCTTTATCATCTTGCGTCAGCCTCCCTCTAGAGAAGTGTTTCTTAACCTGTGGGTCAAGACCCTTTTAAGGGTCAAACAACCCTTTCACAGGGGTCGCATATCAGATAACTTGGATATCAGATATTTGTATTATGGTTCATAACAGTAGCAAAATTACAGTTATAATTGTAACTGTAATAAAAATAATTTTATGGTTGGGGGTCACCACACATGAACTGTATTAAAGGATTGCAGCGTTAGGAAGGTTGAGGACCACTGCTCTAGAGTGCTTGAATACAAATAGGTACCATCCCACCTGATTGGCGCACGCACCTCTTACTTTCTTTTGTGTTTGAGACAAGGTCTCGAGTACCCCAAGCTAGCCTCATACTTGATAGGCAGCTAAGGATAACCTTAAATTTCTGGTTCACTTACCTGGGCTCACAGTCATACATATACCTACCTTAAAAAAAAAAAAAAAAGGTGGGGCTGGAGATCAAATCATGATAATGGCAAACACTCTAACATCTCAGATACAGCCCCTAGCCACATGCTGGGGGCTGGAGCCCGGGGCCTTTTGAGGACTATACTAAACTGTATTCCCAGACCTCTACATCTTTAACATTATTTGTTTGTTTATTTGTTTGTTGAGGGAGGCATGGTCATGCCTTGGCGTGCATGTGGAGATCAGAGATAACTTTCACAACTTCGTTTTCTCCTTCCTCTATGTGGGTCCTAGGGATTGAACTCAGGTTGTCACCGTTGGTGGCAACCTGCCGAGCCATCTTGCCAACCCACACGCCTTTGCCTTTTTAAACAAAAATAGCTATAGAAAGAAGTGTTGCTGTTATATTTTTGCAAATCTCTTTAGTCTGAGATTTCATAAAAGACTCCCCATGTAGCTCTGGAAAATTCCAGAGTACTTTTGTGACAACATGGGAGTGAAAAAGACAAGCAATGTCCTTCTTAGGTAAAGTATGTTGACCTTGGAGACTCCACGGAAGGTTCTCAAGAAGCTTTGGTCTCTAGAGTTAGTTAACCTTTGAAGGATTGCTGTGAACTTGAAGTTGAGCTTTCGCGCCTGGGGCTACACTTTCCTTATCTGTAGATGGGAATTAGTGTCCCTTGCCTCCAAAAGGCCAGCCACTTAACCAGGCCAAGTCCACAGTAGAGATAGAGAGTTTGGCTGTTTTTCCCTTTCCGGTGGCCTCAGTTTCCTTGCAGATAAAACAAAGCCCTGAGCTGGAGCACATCCAAGGCGCTTCGATTCCATACTTCCCACCCGGGTAGGGCTACCTTTCCCTTTTCAGCTCCCAGGCACAAAAGCACGCTCTGTTCCTCAGCTGATGAAAACACGCTCGCTCCCTCAAGCTCCCGATCTTTCATGCCAACCTGGATGTACATGAGTCACCGGCGACATTCCCCTGATTTCTACGCCCCCTCACAACCAAGACATGCACACAGGTGCCCTTGCTGCACCGACAGGCCTGGAGAGCAGACACAGAGGCCGGTGGCCTGGTAGGGCACGCTGCGAACGGACGGGTGCAACCACTCCATCCTTTGGCTGCTCTCCCGCGGGCGCCGGGCCTGGGCCTCCCCGCTCCGCCCCCGCGCGCGCCCCCGCCGCCCGCGCCGCAGTCCGCGTCCACCAGCCCCGGCCGCCCGGTAGCTGCGGTCCCAGTTCAGCGCAGCGCTCCGGAGCCGAAAGGACTGCAGCCGGCGGCCCGAGGTCAGGAGGAATAGGTGGCGCCTAGAGAGCGGGTGGCCCGGAGCTGCCGGCAGCACGGAGGTGGAAGCTCTCGAGAGGGGCAGAGCAGCCTGCGAGGAGCAGCGGGGCGCCGGCAGGCTGGTGTAGGGGAGACCCTGCAGGAGGCATGGCCGGGCTACGAGCCAGATGGGGCCCTGGACGCGGGCTACTGGTGTTGTCCACGCTGGGTTTTTGCCTAATGCTGCAAGCCAGCGCCAAGAGGCCTCCTAAGACGCCCCCCTGCCCACCCAGCTGCTCCTGTACCAGGGACACCGCCTTCTGCGTGGACTCTAAGGCAGTGCCCAAGAACCTGCCTTCAGAGGTCATCTCCCTGTGAGTGTATACCTAGCCTTGGGGGTGGGGAAGGGAAGGAGGGCACAGAGAGCTCTAGAAGAGAGAAACCCTGCTCCTCTTTTCAGTGGATATAGGCCTCAGAACCGGGGATTCCAGGCCCCAGTCTGCAGGGAGCTCTGCAATTATACAGCAGCCATGGCTTAGGAAAACCAGAGTTCATGGCCAAGAATGAATCATCGCCATCAGCAGCGCAATGAGACCTACTGTGTGTGGGTTGGAGGGAGTGTCTACATGAGCATGCTGGCCCCTCCCTGTGAGGTCACAGGAAGGACAGAAAGCAGCAGGACTGATAGCAGCAGGGGGAGGGGTAACAAGCGAGACTGCCCTCCTGGTACCTTGGCACGGGCCAGCCTCCTGCCACCGGGTCGGCTGTTCTGCACACAGCTGGGCCAGCCTCACGTGCAGCAACTGGTCCGTGACCCCCACCCCTCTCCTGTGGGACTAGAGAGGCTGCCAAATCCCACATCTGGCTGCCCCATCCCTCAGCAGCAGCAACACACTGTGGGTGTTGGATAATGGCGATGGTGCTGGTAATGGAACCTGCTCTTGCCTGAGAGGGAAGGTGAGCCTGGGGCCACGGGTGCTTCCAGAGGCAGCAGAGGGAAAGAGTGATGAAAAGGGCACGGAGTTTAGGGAGTAGAGGACAGATGCAGGAGGGGATTAGGGCTGCTGAATACAGAAGCCACTGCCCTGTCCACCTCTGTGCCCAACACAGGCCCTTCAGACACTTACACAGTATTGACTCGTGTGTTCCCTGCAGGACCCTGGTGAACGCTGCCTTCTCAGAGATCCAGGATGGAGCCTTCTCCCACCTGCCGCTGTTACAGTTCTTGTACGGATGGCTTTGTGGAAGGGCGGGTGGGGACGTGGTAGAACCGGACAGATGCTGAGCTTGTGGGAGAGTGTGGAAAGGACATGCCGCAGAAGGTGGAGTGACAGGAGGGTCAGGAGTCCAGGCAGCAGGGAAACTGCATGCAGAGGCCAAGGATGTGGGCTGCAGAACACAGACTTGGCTTCTCTAGAGATTCCAGGGGAATTGGGTTGCAATGGCTTGCGCCAGCGCCAGAGACTGGACGCTCCAGGGAGGGCGTCTTCAGGGGTGGCTCCAGAGATTAGCCTCTGGGAGGCATTGTGGATAGCGGTCTGTGCAGGGCTAGCGTGGGTTGGCATGGGGGTGAGGAGTCTGTAGAAGAGGAGATGCCACAGAAGTGAGGCCAGCAGCCAGGTTGGCAGGACAACATTGTCTCCTGCCGAATTTAGGAGCAGACAGGGAGCTTGTGGCATGGAAATAAGTTCAAACCTGGTCTTACTGTCCAGGGGTCCTGAGGTCGGTAAGAAGGGTAGCCAGACCCTGAGGGAGCTCCGGGGTGGGCAGTGGGCATAGACAGCAGGCATACCTTGCAAGTTCTAATTCCTCCTTTGTCTCCCCAGGTTACTCAACTCCAACAAGTTCACGCTGATTGGAGACAATGCCTTCATGGGACTGTCACACCTGCAGTACCTGTGTGTGGGAGGGAAGGGTCAAGGGCAGGGTAGAAGGAGGGAGCAGGGGCCTAGCGGGCTGAGAGGGAAAATGCAGTGGGAAGGCTGGGAGTGGAACAGGAGGGAAGAGTCCTTGACTCCCCAGCTGTAGGAGCGGGCAGAAAGTCATTTCTCCCATGCCTCTGGCATCTTGCCTGTTACCCTATCACTACAGGTGTGAGGCTGCTGAAAGCCTGTCTCTAGGTCCTGTGCTATGGTCTGGTTTCAGACGTAAGGAAATCACTGCTGGGGGAAGGGTCTGGGACTCCAAGTAGCAACTAAGGCAAGTTCTTATTTTCTCCAGCTTCATAGAGAACAATGACATCTGGGCCCTCTCCAAGTTTACCTTTAGAGGACTCAGGTCCTTGACACATCTGTGAGTACCCGACACCTATACCGCATGGGACTGGAACCCCTGTATCCTCTGGATTTGGTCACGATCTTTAAGTAAGCCTGGGGTCTTTCTTGCAGCTCTCTGGCCAACAATAACCTGCAGACATTGCCAAGAGACATCTTTCGTCCCCTGGACATCCTGAGTGACTTGTAAGCCCTGAGTCCTGCCTCTTCCCACAAGGCCACAGAGGGCATTCCTCAGGAGGGAGTGAGAGGAGGTCGGAATTAGGGCAATCAGAGACTGGGAGGGTCGGGGTTTGAGGGCTTTCAGAAGGTGAGGTCAAGTTAGATAGAGTTGAGAGCCTTCCAAATTGGGGGTGCTTTGAGGCCGGCAGAGGCCTTTTCAAATGCACATTCAATGCGTAGCACAAACACCTGTGTTCTTAAAATGTATGGTTGGATTGAATTAACATTAAAGAACTCTAGCAGATCTGCAGCCATTTGCCATGATTTTATTCAAAAATAAAATAGGAGCCCCTGAATTCTTTCAAGGTTGGAGGAGTAGGGAAGTTACATAGACAGAGGGACAGGTTGCCCATTGCAAAAAAAAAAAAAAAAAAAAAAAAGGAAGCTGTTCAGGCCTGTAATCTCAGCTACCCAGGAGGCTGAAACAGGAGGATCACAAGCAGTAAAATTTTATCTCATGATTAAAAAGTAAAAACAAAAACTAGTGATACAGAGCACTTACCTAGAATATGCACGCTCCTGGGTTCCAACCCCCAGTGTTATAAAACTTCAAATTAAAAGTAAAAGAAAGAAAGAAGAAGAAAAAAAAAAAGCCAAAAGCCAAGGCACCTGGCCAGGTAGGTAAGCAAGCAGGGGCTTTCGCTCTACCAGCACACCTCTGACCACGCCTGTGTTGCGGGCGCCTGTGCCCAACCCATCTACAAAGCTACGAGTGGGCGGCTCACAGCAGCTTCTGAAGGCCAGGTGGGCTGGTGGGCAGAGCAGCTGAGGGTCTGCCCCTTCTGTGCCCCACCCTTACCATCCAGGGACCTCCGGGGTAACGCGCTGAACTGTGACTGCAAGGTGAAGTGGCTAGTGGAGTGGCTGGCCCACAGCAACACCACTGTGGCCCCCATCTACTGTGCCAGCCCTCCCCGATTCCAGGAGCACAAGGTGCAAGACTTGCCTCTTCGGGAATTTGACTGCGTCACCACCGGTAGGATGTACCTCCCTCTGGCTGAAGGCCACCCAGCTGGCCACACCTGGCGTCTATAGCCAGATCCCCACGACCACCCAGAGGATTGGTGTTTTGTTCTCTGGGCTTGATTCCACCCCCAGTCTTCTTGTCCCTGCAGATTTCGTCCTCTACCAGACACTGTCCTTCCCAGCAGTATCAGCCGAACCCTTCCTTTACTCCAGCGACCTCTATTTGGCTCTGGCCCAGCCCGGTGCCAGTGCGTGCACCATCCTGAAGTGGGACTATGTGGAAAGGCAGCTTCGAGACTATGATAGAATTCCAGGTACTTGCATGTAGCCTGCCTATGCTGGTTCTACCCGAGGGGGTGGGGGTAGGAGAGGTGATAGGAAGCTCTGTTGTTCAACTCCAGTCAATCCCTAAAGGAAGAAGGATGGATGAAGAAAGCCCTCTGCTTTGAAGAAGGCCAGTGTGTACAAAATAATAAATACAAAGTATATGCCTTTAATCCCTATGCTTGGGAGGCTCTGTGAGTTTAAGGTCAGCCAAGGCTACATAATACAGAGACTCCATCTCAAACAAACAAACAAACAAATAGATTCAAGACAGAGAGCTAAGGATGAAGCTCAGTTTGGTGGAGTGCTTGCTTAGCATGCACAAAGCTCAGCCTTAATGATGGTTCACACCTATAATCCCAGCATTTGGGAGGTGGAGGCAGGAATCTGGGGAACTCAAGACCGTATAGTGAGAACCTGTCTCAAAGAAAAGAATAAAACAAAGCAAAGCTTGCCGGGATATGGTGGCTCACATCTGTAATCCTGGCGCCTGGGATGCAGGCAAAGAAAAATCACTGCAAGTTCAAGACCAGCCTGGCTATCCAGGGCTTCCCTATCTCAACAAACAAACAAACAAAACAAAACAAAACAAATTATGCAGTCTGAGTCCTGCATTGGGGATGGAGTTCTGTAGCGGTCTGTTGTGGAGGGTGTTTGGAGGTTGATCTTCCATTTGGGTGTAGACTACCTGACACTGCCTAACCCCGTGTGCTTCTGTCCCGGCAGCCCCCTCAGCGGTGCACTGCAAGCCGATGGTGGTGGACGGCCAGCTCTATGTGGTCGTGGCCCAGCTGTTTGGCGGCTCATACATTTACCACTGGGACCCCAACACCACGCGTTTCACCAAGCTGCAGGACATCGACCCTCAACGCGTGCGCAAGCCCAATGACCTAGAAGCCTTCCGAGTCGACGGTGACTGGTTCTTCGCAGTGGCTGACAGCTCTAAGGCGGGCGCCACCAGCCTCTACCGCTGGCACCAGAATGGCTTCTATTCCCACCAGGCTCTGCATGCCTGGCACCGTGACACCGACCTGGAGTTTGTTGATGGCGAGGGCAAGCCTCGGCTGATTGTGTCTAGTAGCTCTCAGGCACCTGTCATCTATCAGTGGAGTCGTACTCAGAAACAGTTTGTGGCCCAGGGAGAGGTGACTCAGGTGCCCGATGCCCAGGCCGTGAAACACTTTCGAGCTGGCCGAGACAGCTACCTGTGCCTTAGTCGCTACATCGGTGACTCCAAGATCCTGCGCTGGGAGGGCACTCGTTTCTCGGAGGTGCAGGCCCTTCCCTCCCGAGGCTCTCTGGCCCTACAGCCCTTCCTGGTGGGTGGCCACCGCTACCTGGCACTGGGCAGTGACTTCTCCTTCACCCAGATCTACCAGTGGGATGAGGGGCGACAGAAGTTCGTACGGTTCCAGGAGCTGGCTGTGCAGGCCCCTCGGGCCTTCTGCTACATGCCTGCTGGAGATGCCCAGCTGCTCCTGGCTCCCAGTTTCAAGGGACAAACACTGGTATACCGACATGTTGTAGTTGATCTCAGTGCCTAGAGGGAGGTGAAGTCCTTTTGGTTCCTCAGGGTGGTGCTGTACGCGGGGCGGGGACCTCTGTGAGCAACTTGTGGCCCCGAGTAAAGTCACATGTGGCTAACCTGTATATGTAACCACACACACACACACACACACACACACACATATATACACACAGAAGTGGGCCTGGGCACATACCAGCCACTAGCCCATGGGAGCTATTCCCATCACAGTAATCGGCACGTACGTATGCGAGAGGCACCCAGTATCCCAGGTTCTCCTCTCTGTGTGTACCAGTGGCCCCCCACATCTGCAGTGACCCCGTGCTCTGCTTTCTCGCTAGTGTGTCTGGGTAACGCAATGGGTGCAGGCAGGGGTGAGCCATGGCCTTTTCTTCTCAGCTTAGCCTTCTGCCCTCTGGCCTTTCCTGCTCAGGGTGCCTGTGTGCCTGTTGGGCATCCACAGCTGTGCCCACACTTCCCAGTGTGCCTGCCCACGCCATGCCGCGCTCCTTCTGCATGCACCTGGGGACGCCGATGGAGACTTAGTCACGTAGTCCTGCATACCTGGCCACGCTCCTAGTTCCGTACGTGCACACGTCTGGGAGCGTGTACACGAGCAGGCTGGGTGCTGGGCGTACAGGTTTCCCTGTTATCACCTAGCCGCACCTTCTTGGAAGGTGCCTACAGCACCCTCACTCTCTCTGTTCACCCCAGTGTGCCCCCTTATGTGGCTAACAAGGATAATAACAGTAAGCATCACCATGGCCGCCTGGGGACAAAGCCACTTCATCCTGAAGCAATAATAACAACAGAGGCGATAGCAACTGGACTCCTTGCAGCGCCATGTACTTTTCTTCTCACTAGAGTTTTCTTCCATGACTCAATCCCAGCTCCCCTGGACAAAGGAGGAAAGGCTTTCTCTAGATAGTATTGCTTTTTCAAGCTCAGGCTCTCTCCTCTCTCATCCCATCTTTGGGATGTGGACCCCGAACTGTGATTGTCCCTTGGGTGGATGTAAAAACTGGCCAAGGCAAGAATCCCGAGAGAACCTGAGCTACTTGTGTGGGTGCCAGGAACATGCTGGGCGCCCTGGAAACCCTCCACTCTGTGGAGATGCTCTTAGAAGCATGGCTCAGTGGAGGCTAAAGATGGGTAGCAGGAGGGACGCCTAGGAACCAGGCCTCTGCTGCCCTCTGCTGTTCGCTTGGAACAGCAGCTCAGAAGCAGGAAATTGCCAGATTGAGAGGATTTCTTGTGGCCTGGGGCACCTGGGAGCAATGCTATGATTCCTTTGCTTCAAATAAAAAGTTCCACCCCCACCGCTAGCTCACAGCTGTCCTCAGGTGTTTTGTTAAGAGCAGAGCCAGCATGTGTCAGCTGTCCCTGCGACACACACAGACCACACCACCAGCTTCCCGGTCCTCTTCCTCTTGGCTCCTTTCCCTCAGAGCATTGGACGCCCTCAAGGTCAGCTGGCACTAGGGTCAGGAGTTCACGGTAATGCCACTCAGGTATGGGGCTGTGTGATGAGTCTCTTGCACCTGGGTCTGATTCACAGCCCATTGCTCCTTCCTGGAGATTACAGGCCTGGGACTTGCTGAGACCTAGGTCAGTCCCTTTGTGAGGATATCTTTACGCCACATGGCATAGATACGTTCAGCCTGCAACAGCCCTGTCTTTCTGTCATCCCCTCCCTGAGCTCCCCACTGAGCAAATGTCCACCATTGTCACCATCCCCTACCAAGGTGAGGCACCTTGGAGTCTTAGGTAATATCTTGGTACCTCTTCTCTGCATTTTATACAGCCACTAATTCATCATTCTTTATCTCTGGCCATTTCCCCTTGCCCCACTACAACCTTTATCCAAGCCTGTCCTCATTACTGTAGTCTCCAGGTCCCTCCTGCCAGCCTTCTTCTCAGATCCTTCCGGTCTGCCCTTCCTGAAACATCTCTCCATTATGTCATCTGCTACCCAGGAGCCTGCTTTGGCTCCCTGCTCTTCTAAAAACAAATCCATGGCTTTGTGCCTGACATCAAGCTCCTCAGGACCTGGTGCCAGCAGACCCAGCAACACCGGTCCCTCTCCTGCCTGCTTCCATTCTGTCCCTTTCTGAGGCTATAGTAAGAACCTATAACAAAAGGAGCTTGGGGAGGAGGTCATCAGACAGGGGCTAGGGCCAAAGCAGTGACGAGGGTCACTAGGGCGCATGAAGCATCTTAAGAACACGTAACACTGTGTTGCAAAACTGCCACGCTCAGCGTAGGACCTTTCTCCTTGTCTCTCCTCTTTACCTCCAGACTTGAACCAATGGGAACCCACTGCCATCTTATGTGAAAAGAAACAGGGGCAATGACATAACCTCAGGGGTGGGGTGCTGGAGTATGTACCCCACCCCCATACAAAAACAGACTCCTTCCCTTTTCCTGCTTCTCATTTGTCGTCCAAGGTTCCCCTCAGCTCTCACATGTCACATATGTGTCTGTCTTAGGGTTTCTACTGCAGTGAAGAGACACCATGACCCTGGCAAGTCTTTTTGTTTTTTCCCCCCCTGTAACTGTGGCATTGTTAGATGCAACAGGACTAGAACCCAATGGAATGTGCTGAAGTTAAAGGATACATTTTTTGCTTTTGTTTTTCGAGACAGGGTTTCTTTTGTAGCCTTGGCTTGTCTTAGATTCCCTTTGTAGAGCAGAGATCTGCCTGCCTCTGCCGCTCCAGGTGCCGGGTTTACAGGTGTGTGCCACCACACCCAGCTGACCACGGCAAGTCTTATAAAAGAAAGTATCTAACAGGGGCTGGCTTGCAGTTCAGAGGGTTAGTCCATTACCAGCATGGCAACACACAGGCAGACATGGTGCTGCAGAGGTAGCTGAGAGTTCTACATCCAGATCCACAGGCAGCAGGAAGAGACAATGACACTGGGCCTGCTTGGACCTTTGAAAACCTCAAAGCTCAACTTCAGTGACATACTTCCCCCAACAAGGCCACACCTCTTAGTCCTAGTAAGTATCAAATAGCGGCAATCCCGGACTAAGTATTCAAATACATGAGACGATTGAGGCCATTCCTATTCAAATCACCACCCTCGTTTGAGTTCCTATTCAAACAATGTCCACATCCGTCGCATATCCCTGATCTGTCACAAGGGAAAGAGCCCAGCTCTAAGAACTCCAGAACATGTATCAACACCATGCTCTGAACCCCACGGTCTGGACCGCACATGAGCAGGTGTCAGTTTGGTTACTTTGCTTGGTGTCACTTGACTTCCCTGACGCTCAAACCCTGCAAAGCAAATTAGTGAACCTACTAGGTAGAGTGGTGATTCAATTCACTTACTGAGGAAAAGCAGTGAATGGTATTCAGGCACTTTACTTTGCCTGTATGTGTCTCAGTCTCCTTATCTGCAAAATGGGTTTAATGGTGCCTAACCAACAGGGTCATGTATCGTTGGATAGACTAGTTCATGTCAGGCCCATGTCAGGCATCCCTCATGAGATTTAAGTGAGTTAAATACTGATCAATGAATGTCAGTCTCCTTGAAGACTATGCCTGGCTCATAATTATAAGCTGTGTTGGTTTCAGGATTGTATTTGAGATGGAGTGGCTCCAAGAAGGGGGTTTGTGAGAGCAAGAGAAAGGTACTCCTTGGTGACAAGTGCTCTCTGAAAGTGAGGGTCCCTCCACCATCTGCAGTCTCAGAGTTTCTGCCCCCCACCTCTTCATCTGCAGCTTCAGGCACCCAGCCCTCCCCACTGTCCCTGGCTGCAGCTCATGGTTTCTGCTCAAATCACATTCCTATGCTCTTGGCAAGGCAGGCATCTGTGAATCCTTTCTATCCCTCCCAGGTTTGCCTTTCTCCCTTTATTCCTTCCTTTTGAGATTGTCTCTTATAGCCCAGGCTGGCCTTAAACTCACTGTGCAGCCAAAGATAATTTTGAACTTCTGACTCTTGCCTCCAACTTCCCAAATGCTGAGATTTCATCTGTATGCCTCCACACCACTTTCATGTAGTGCTGGGTATTGAACGCAGGACTTTATATTTATCAGGCAAGCGCTACATACCAACTCAGCCACATCCCCGGCCATGCCCACTGAGGTTGCCAAGGGAAATGGCTTTAGTTTCCCAGACACCCTAGCCTTTTGTTGCCCAGTTGCAAGATAAACATTGCTCTTCGCAAGCCACTCCCTCTACTGAAGAGAGACATTCTCTCCATCAAACCTTGAATACCTAGCTTTCTGAGGCATGGTTGCCTGGTCACCTGCCTGAGGGGGGTCAGCCATGAGTCCATGGAGCTGCTTAGCAACTCAGGGTAACTGGATGACTGTGTCAACAGCTCAGAACCAAAGGCTTACAAGATCCAGGTTCCACTTACTCTGTCAAAGCCAAGGAGGGTGACACTTAGCTGCCAGCCTCCCACTGCTCTGTGAGGAGCCTGGCTCCCAGCATCAGACCTCTGACTTCTGTTCTTTAATTTTCCAAACACAGCCATCACAGCCAGGAGTCTCCATGGGGGAGACTGTCCCAGCTGGGAGAGGGCTGAGTGGCCACAGGCAAGTTCTTCCCAGCAAATGAAAACAGATTAAAGCCCTTTTCTTTCCTTCCTCCCTTCCTTCCTTTTTTCTTTCTTCCTATCTATCTATCTGTCTTTCCTTCCTTCCTTCCTTCTTCTTTTTTTTTTTTTTTTCTTTTAAGACAGGATTTTACCAGGTAGACTCCAGGCCACCCTTGCAATCAAATCCTCCTGCCTCAGCCTCCTAAATTCCTAGATTACAGGCAGGTGTCACCACACTCAGCTCAAAACAAGGCTTCAGTTGGCCTGGGGAGATGGCCTAATGGGCAAAGCGCCTGTTGCACAAACAAGGGTCTAAGTTCAGTTGGGTCCCATGCCTGTAAAAAGCCAGGCATGGAGGCACATTGGGTGGTCTAAGCACTAGAGGAGAGGAGACAGATCCTTGGGGCTTAACAGCTGACCAGTCTAACTGAAATGGTGAGCTCCGGGAACAACCAGAGACCTTATCAAGCTGAACATGGTGGCACACACCTTTAATCACAGCATTTTGGAGGCAGAGGCAGGAAGATCTCTTTGAGTTTGAGGCCAGCCTGGTCTACTAAGAGAGTTCCAGGACAGCCAGGGCTGTTACACGGAGAAACCCTATCTCAAAAAGCAAGCAAACAAACAAGAATTATATCTGAGGGGCCAGAGAGATGGCTCAGCAGTTAAGAGCACCACTGCCCACACAGAGGCTAACAGCCCTTGTAACTCCAGTTCAATATATAGTTTTATGGTTCTAGATCTATATATAGAGAGAGATCTAGAAGGTTGGAGATGTGGCTCAGTACAGTGCTTTCTCTAGCATGCATGAGGCTATAGGTTTGAGCCCTAGTATTGTATGAACCAAACATGGTGACATGTGCCTATAATGCCAGCATTTAGAAAGAAGCAGGAAGATCGGAAGTTTAAGGCCATGCCTAGACTACATAGGACCCTCTCTACTGAGAAAAAGCAAGATGGCTCTCAAGAAGGATGGTGTGTCTGGAACCTTCTTAATGGGAGCCTCAGGCCTTGGTGTTTCTTTTTCTGTAGAACAATGGGAGTGCGGGGGGGGGGGAGAATGGCAGTAGGAGCAAGGGAGCATGGTAAGGAGCAGGGGAGTTTCTCCTGTGGGCAGGTTTCATTGCTGGCTCCCACATCCAGCAATACCAATAAAATTGATGATAATAATTAAGACTGTATAATCACCATGTGTTTATTCCCAAGAAGCCTCCTTTCCCTGGCTCCCATCATTACCAATTCCATCCTCATAGATGGTGGGCGTTAACTGTGCTCTAATAAAAGGCAGTGACTGCCCGTGCTTCCACCCCCACAGCCCTGGGGTAGCTTGGCTTGCACCCTTACCTCAAGATGGGGGTTGGGGGTACTGATCTCCCTATTTTCAGAAAGAATAACTGAGACAGGAGGCGGATGTCACAAAGAAAGAAACACCATGTGAAAACAAAAACAGCAACAAAACCCCACAGTCTGTCTTCTTTGTAGCTTTTTCCCTTTGGGCAGTTACCTTTACTAAGGTAACTTCTTTAAGTCCGTGTCCCCCTTCCAGGGCCACTTGTAGCTGGCTGCTGCTGATTTCCTAAAAATATTGACCATGCCACATATTTAGGTACTGGCCAGCAATAAATACTGCTTGGTCACAGTGGGTCATTTCCTAAATGTTAAAAGAAGAGGAAGCAGAAGAGGAGGAGGAGGAGGAGGAGGAGGAGGAGGAGGAGGAGGAGGAGGAGGAAGAAGAAGAAGAAGAAGAAGAAGAAGAAGAAGAAGAAGAAGAAGAAGAAGGAGAAGAAGAAGAAGATGATGAAGAAGAAACAGCAGCAGCAGCAGTTGGGTGTGGTGATGGACATCTTTGGTCCCAGCACTCAGGGAAGCAGAGGCAGGCAGATGGCTGTGAGTTTGAGACCAGCCTGATCTACAAAGCAAATCCAGGACAGCCAAAGCTACACAGAGAAACCCTGTCTGAGGAAAACAAACAAACTTTGCAAAGATTAAGACCAGGGAGAAATCAGAGAAGCTTCTTGAAGTAGAGAGTTGACACAGAGGCCCACAGTTGGAGAACATGAAGAGAGTGAGCAACTTTGAAGCAGTCAGACCTAAATAGGATGTCTATGTCACAGCCCTCCCTTGAAGCCTCAGCAGGGGTCTCTGCAAAAGTAGAGACAGAAAAAAATTGTAAGAACTAGAAGGAAATGGTGTTTTCCAGATGCAATGGGCAGGTATACATACGAATTCACAGAGACTGTGACAGCACACACATGTCCTGAACAAACTCAAACCAGACAAAATCTCAGCACAGAGGAGAGGAAGTGGGCTCCAGGTCTCATCCCTACCCAAGAAGCTATTCGAAACTGCTATCTGCTGGGAGAAGGAATGTCATTGGGTATATCAACTACACTCCAAGGCAGGTCCCATGCTCAGGTTGGCCAACACAAATCAGACTCTATTGAAAAAAAAAAAAAAAGATTTTTTTTTTTCCCTGGACCTTTAGTCCTAGCACTTGGGAGGCAGAGGCAGGTGGATCTCTGAGTTCAAGGCCAGCCTGGTCTACAGATTGAGTTCCAGTACAGGGCTATACAAAGAAACCTTGTCTCGAAAAAATAAAAATAAAAAATAAAAACAAAAGAAAAGGCACAAGGTAATAATAACGATGATGCTAATACAATAATAATATACCCAAGTTTGTCAAATGTTTTATCTTTCCAGTCTGGCCAACCTTATAAGAAGAAACTTTAATAATCCCATCATTCCACACAACAACAACAAAAATGAACACAAAAGTACTGCACAAAACGTCCTGTTGATTTTAGAAGGCTCTGGAATATTTGTATCTGACTCAGACACAAGCTGAATTTCAAACTTGGGTAAATTTCAAGACATGGGTAAGCCCGGATCTTCCCTCAGTCTGTCGAGACACTGGAGTCAGACTGCTCAGGTATATAGATCTTGGGAAGCTGCTTTAGAGCGAAGCGGAGTCCTGAAGCCCACTGCTTCCTCCTTTCTCTCCTGGTCTGCTGGACTACTGGGACGCTGGGTCAGACCAGAACTTGCTTCCTCCCGGTCAAGCACTCATTTTATGCGCTATCCCATTTTACAGAGGGAGAAATGACAGAAAAGGACGTCGGGAAACTCCAACACAGAACACACCTGAGTCTTTTTTTCCTTTTTTCTTTTTCCCCATTCTGAACTTATTTTCTTTTGTTTGTCTGAGACAGTGTCGTGATATATCTGTACCTCAGCCTGGACTGGTAATTCTCCAGCCTCAGCCGCAGGGGTTCATGTGTGCGCCACCAAACCTAGCTAGGAGTCCGGGTTGTTTTTGTTTTGGTTGTGACTTTCCACCCGCTAACCTTTCAGATCTGATAGACTATTCGACCAGCGGTCCCCCCCTCCCCGGACGTGCGGAGCATCGCCGCTTTAAGAAACTGGCCGTTTGTGTCCCTGACCTCGTCACGTCCCTCTAAAGGTTTCATTGCGCCTGCGCCTCGAGCTTGAGCTCTGGGGTTGGGCAGGACCAGGTTCCGTGCAACTTTCAAGTGAGTTACAAACTCCGCCCCGGAGCCTGGTGCAGGTAGTCGAACGCTCTGGGACCCCGGCGGTCCTTGAGAGCGGAGATCCCTCCGGACCTGCCGCCCGGACCCAGGACTAACAGCGGCGCCCTCGACGGGCGGTTCTCCGCGGGACTGAGCCGCCAGCATTCGGCGGCGCGGGGCGGAGGAACGAGCCTGCCCGCCCGCCCTCCTACCTCGGTCCTAAGGCTGCTTCCTCTGCTTGGCCCTACGTCTGCCGGTTCCGGGTTCTCCAGGCTCCCCGCACCGTGGGGTTGGACTCAGGGGTAGTGGTCTCCGCCCACACCGAAGGACAGGTGTATCGCAGCACCATTCGGCCCCTTGCCCCAACTCCTGAGCGAGGGTCCCTCCGGTTGTCTCTTGGGGTCACCCCCCCAAGACTGTCAGGATGGTGTCCTGGATGATCTGTCGCCTGGTGGTGTGAGTATGGCCACCATGAGACACTGCGCCCTCCCCCCTCCCTTATCCCTGGGTGCCAGCCTGCCTTTGGGTGGAAACTGGGAAAGAAGAGAAATTTGGTAAAGAAAAGGATTTTCAGAACTCCATGACCCTTTCCCCAACACACACTTAACGGTCCTGGGGGTCTGAAGTGGGACCTGGTCACTGCGTGCCTTGTTTTCACAGTGCAGCCTTCAAGGCTGATGGGAGACCCTTCTGACATGAACACAGCAGACAGGTGCAGGCAGTGCTCAGGCCCTTTGCCACCCACAGCCCGGTGAGGTGATAGGCGCTGCTGTGCGCCTCCTCCCTTAGGAGCTGCCATGTGACCCACCACCCCAGCTCCGAGGTCTACCCCTCACTTTTGGATGTTCCAACACCTGTCTCAAACCGTCCCTCACTGCATCCTGCTGCCTCTGAGCCTGATTTCCTGTAGTGGGAGGGGACAGCCTGGTGTTCTCACCGACCTTGTTGTGTGTTCTCAGACTGTCCCTGTATCTATGGGCCACCAGTGCAGGCCTGGGCAGGCTTGGGATGTTTGTAAACAGCCGGGTGGGGAGGCAGCCTCCAGGGCTCTGACTCAGGCACCCTGAGTTGTGCAAGCCAAGCGGGAAAAACAGGGCCGGCCTTGCCATCTCGCACCCAGGTCAGGGGAAGCAGCCACCAAGGAGGGAGAGGGTGGGACATGGTGGCCCTCACGCTTCCTATGGCTGCTGTTCCAGGCTCGTATTTGGTATGCTGTATCCTGCATATGCTTCCTACAAAGCTGTGAAGAGCAAGAACATTCGAGAATACGTGAGTGCGAGGGGTTGGCGGGAGAGCCGAACCGCTGTGTGGTGAATAGACAGCCTTGAGGAATGGTCAGGGAGTAGATGGGAGGACTTGGTGAAGGAGGAAGGAGGAGGGCCCGGGCTGGCCTGTCAGACTCCAGGGGCTTGATGGTGGGGCAGATCTCGTGTAGGAGTCAAGTGGAGGGCCAACCCTTAGCATGCCCCTTGGAGGATCTTGTGGGTGGAGCGAGCATGCTGGGATGGCCACTGGAATGGAGAGCAGCTTCTCAGGAGCCCCTGTCTAAGAAGATGTGGGGAGATGCAATGCAGTGGGACTTGCTTTCAGGAATCCCTGGGTTGGGTTGGGCCAGCTGGGGGCGGGCGTTGGCAGCTAAGGCTCCCTGGCTGAGCTCTGTGTACTCTGACCCACAGGTCCGCTGGATGATGTACTGGATTGTCTTTGCGATCTTCATGGCAACAGAGACCTTCACAGACATCTTCATTTCCTGGTTTGGCATGAGGATTGGCAGGCCACGGGTTGGGAAGGCCCACCCACTCACTGCCTGGCACCTGCCTCACTCAAGCCCCTCCCCCTCGCTTCCACAGGTTCCCTTTTTATTATGAGATCAAGATGGCCTTCGTGCTGTGGCTGCTCTCACCTTACACCAAGGGGGCCAGCCTGCTTTACCGAAAGTTTGTCCACCCGTCCCTATCCCGCCATGAGAAGGTACCCCTGGGGAGATGGAGGAGGAGCACAGAAGGGTGTGTCTGTCAGAGAGAAAGCCCTGTATCTCAGGTTCAGGGAACTAGCCATGCCTGGGTCTTATTTCCTGTCCCACTGCAGTTTTGCTATGGGACTTCGGTGGGGTTGGCTTTCCTAGATAACACACATGAGTGACCTTTAAGGGTGTGCATGCCAGCAGGAAGTTGATGTGGGCATGGGAAAAAGGAAGGGACACTCGCTAAGGTGTGGAGTGGGTGTGCTCCTAGTTTTTGTTCGGAGCCTGTATCTGGCTCCTGGGTCCTAGGTAGACGTGGGGCTAGGTAGGGATTGTGACACCCAGTGGCTTCTTGAGGTCTGCAGAGAAGTGGCCCTTTTGTTGATGTGCGCTCTCCACCCTGGGTCTGCAGGAGATCGATGCATGCATCGTGCAGGCAAGGGAGCGCAGCTACGAGACCATGCTCAGTTTCGGGAAGCGGAGCCTCAACATCGCTGCCTCGGCTGCTGTGCAGGCTGCTACCAAGGTGCTCTGGGTCCGGTGTTCAGGGTGTCGGGCCCCACTCCCAGTACCTTTGAGGCAGACTGGTTCTGATTAGTGATTAGCTGAAGGCCCCCTTCCCTGCTGAAGCCCTTCCCCTGCAGGCCTCCTCTGCAGTTAATACGGTGCCTCTCCCCCCTCTCCTCCTAGAGTCAGGGTGCTCTAGCTGGAAGGCTCCGGAGCTTCTCCATGCAAGACCTGCGCTCTATTCCTGACACCCCTGCCCCCACCTACCAAGACCCCCTCTACTTGGAAGACCAGGTACCCCGACGAAGACCCCCAATTGGTAAGTGGAAAAGGGTCCCAAAGCAGACCTGGGAAGGTCTGAATCTCTGAGGGATAGGAGAAAGCTGGGAGTATCAGCTCTGGGTTTATGCAGATGTTCAGATTTGCCCTTGATGGCCCCTCTCCCACAGGGTACCGGCCAGGCGGCCTGCAAGACAGTGACACAGAGGATGGCTGTTGGTCAGACCATGAGATAGCCCCCCAGCCACCTGTCCGGCCACGAGAGAAGCCTCTGAGCCGCAGCCAGAGCCTTCGGGTGGTCAAGAGAAAGCCATTGGTGCGAGAGGTCAGTGTGTAGGAAGGACGGTGTGAGGGAGGTGGTGTGAGCTGCCATGCCCACACACACCACTCTTAATATATTGACTTCCTCTCCCCAAGGGCACTTCACGCTCCCTGAAGGTCCGAACCCGGAAGAAGACCATGCCCTCAGACATGGACAGCTAGAGCCTGCAGAATCAGGCCATCTTACCTCTGGAGCCATTAGGGGACTTTTTGCTGCTATACCAGCTGGCTGGGTCCTGCCCCTTCTGGCTTCTGCAGCTGCCTAAGGGGCACAGGGTGTGGCACCCTCCATGGGGATGCACCCATACTATACCAAAGCAGACCAGGCTCAGGGGCCTATTTATTGCCTTCCTCAGCCTTTTACCTTTCCAGAAATGGGACCGGAGCCCCACTAGTCCCTATAGATGAAATCAGAAGTTGGACCATTTGTGTTCATTCCTCCTTGTCCTTCAAAGTACTTGACAGCCTTTTCCAAGGCCTGGTGTGTGTATGTGTATGTGTATGTGTGTGTGTGTGTGTGTGTGTGTGTGTGTGTCCTTGCTGTGTGTTTCGTGTTGGTAAGTGAGGTCAGGCTTGTGAATGTTTTTATAAAATAAATACCAAACGGGGTTTGGCCTCCCCATGATTTGTCTCCTCCCTCCTCATCTATCATCTTGTATCTGACAACAGACTGCAGGCTCTGGCAAAAGGGTCTGGCAACTGTCAGGAAATCCCTGTGTACCAACAAACCGTCACAGCAGCTCATAGTTGTTCCTACGGACCCCTTCAGAATCAGGCTGGAGCCAGGTGTGGTGGTACAAGACTTTGAGTCCAACGTGGAGGGCAGGAGGATGTCTGTGAGTTCTAGTCCAGCATGGTTTACATAGCCAGTCCAGGACAGCCAGGACTGGAAAGACCCTGTCTGAAAAAACAGGAGTCACACTGGACTGGAAGAGGAGGACTCAGAGTCAGGAGTCAGTATGGGCCCTTACAGGAAGAGACAAAGGTATGAAAAAGGGTGTAGAAATTGCGCTGAGCAAACCTGGGAAGGCAGGTTAGTTCTTCCATGAATCTGAAGGGTCACATTTCTGTAAATTTTTCTGTAAACATTTGCCTACGATCAGGGTGAATTTGCACTCTAAGCCACAAGAGGGCAGCAGCTGCCTGGGGCCAGGCTGCCCCCACCTTCCAGGTCAGGGTGGGCGGTGCTCGGAGACTAGCCAAAGCCTCGCCCTGCTGGGGCCTGGCTGCTGATGGGGCAGGCCAAGGGAACCCGGCAGAGCCAATGATAGCCCTTCTCTGCTGCTCCTAGCTGATCCGTGGCCTGCTCCATCCACAGAGAGCCAGACTCTTGCCCTGGATTGGCTCTAATCCATCTTCTTTGATCCCTGGGTCATCTGTCCCTGATGCAGGGAGTCACATGGTGCCCAGAGGTGCTTCCTCCTCCCTCCCACCCCATCTGCCCTTCCTTCCCACTTCAGAGTAAAGAGTGATGGTTGGGGAAAAAAATATGGGCTGCTAAATTGGAGTGGCCTTTGAGGATTAACTCTTGGTAGGGATTATCTAGGTTTTATGGGAGGGAAGGCTCTTAATCTGTGAGGCTGATTTAGCCTCTCACGTTTTGGGGATTCAGCGGCTTCCCCTATGGCATTCCCTCTCATTGTGATGCTGATTTGCCACCTCATTAATTCACTCCAAAGATGTGTTGCTAGATACCGGAAGGGTAAGAAGACAAGGAAGTAGGTATTATTATTATAATCCCCATATCCCAAGCAGGCACATAAAGGGCAAGTGATTTGCCCAAGGTGGCCTAGCTAGTAAATGGCAGGATTGGGCTTTGGACCAGGCAGTCTGGCTCCAGAGTGGATGTTCTTAATCACTATTCAGTAAATGAGCTCCGTTCCTTGCCTAGGAGGCAGGGAGAAGGAGCCTGGCATGTACAGAATATTTGTTGCATGTCTGACCTTGTGCAGGGCATTTCACAGAGACGGTTTCCTTGAATGCTCTCAAATGGGCCTGCGTCCATGTCACAGGTGAAAAAGCTTTCTCCTTGAGAGTGGTACTGTCTGAGAGGTAGGCCAAATCACTCGGCCCTCCTTGGCAGAATTGTCGAAGCTGCTGTCCCCAGGCTCTGCAAAGTCCATGCCTGCACTTTACCGTCTCTGCTCTTTCTTCCCCCACGCCACTTTGTTCTCGAACCCTGACTCACACATCTCTTTCACAGTCCTCTGTGGGCATGCCTTTGCCTTGCCTAGCTCATCTAGCGTTCCTACCAGCGCTGCTCACGAAGGGACTTCTGTTTTCATCTTGAGTACATCACCTTTTTTTTTTTTCCGTTCCTCCTCTGTCATGACTTCAGAACCAGCCTTATTTTACTGTTGTATCCCAGCCCAGAATAAGTGGTTGGAGCAAGGTGAGGTATTTTTATAACTGTGTGATTTGCTGCTGAAATCCTGAGTATTGTCTGGCCTCTGTGCTCAGACATCACTCCCTCCTCTGGGAAGACTCTCTAACTGCCCAGCACCGGATTAGGAGTCATGGAGTCATTTGTCACCATGTCCATGTCTCCAAGCATGGCTCCTAGCCTCAGCCCAAGGCCTGACTCCTCAGAGGCCTGAAGGAGGATTGCTACTCAACTAGCACATACATCAAATGTCTTCGACCTCTTCAGGGTGGGAGTGAACTTGTTTCTGTGGCGTCTATGTCCTCTGTCACCTCAGTTCTACTAAATGGCTTTCCAAACATCAGTGTCTCTGATATGGCTAAATGAATGTCTGGCTAAGGTTATATGGCTACCAAGGCATCCTGAGGCCACAGAGGAAGAAGTGAGTAAAAGCCCAAGTTATAGGCATTTCTGGGCAAGTATAAATATGAGCTTGAGTCTTGGGGCAGTGGGCAGCAGCTGGACATCCCTCAGAGAACCTCTGCCTCTCTGAGAACCACCCAGACACCTACAGCCAGCACCATTCACCTCTGGAGGGTCCCTGGCCTACCACTAATCCTTGGCCTGGTATCTTAAAGGGAGGGGGCCATCAATTTTCTACTTGATACCAGTATGCCTGGCCTCCCTGGGTAGGAGCAAGGTTGGAAAAAACCTGACACCATCGAGGCCAGTCTGTAGCACATACCTTTGGTGGGTTCTGGTCCCATTCCCACTCCTCAGCCTTTGCTACCCTTCCTGGCCTATTACCATGGCAACTGGGCCTTCCTTCTCACATTCCTTTCTCTTTCTGCCTCACCTCCTGCCATCCTTTTATCCCTCTGCTTCTGGCTCCATCACCGTCCCTCTCAGCTGTGACCCTTTATTGTCCTAGTCACGTTCCCCTTTTCTGGCTTCCATGTCACAACACACAGGAACCCATGGCTGTATTTTTAGCTGCCACTCTCAGCAACATATTAAGTCTCTAGATTCCCCCCCCCCCAGCCCTGGCCCAGTCTGAGTTGAGGGGTCCTGGCAGGCATTGTCAGGGGGCTGGCTCCACTGGAGGGGGCTCAGGAGGGCAACTTCTCAGGTCCTGGTCTCCATTTCTCACCCAGCATCTGGAACTGGTACCCACTAAGGTGACCTTCACTGCAGATGGCTGGTGCCTAGAGTTGGGAGATCCTGGGGCAGAGCTGGCATTGCTGCACACACAGGTCCCAAACTCAGCCTGGAACACAATGGAGGCTGGATGGCACTGAGGGAGGGCTAGAGAGAAGGAGGGCTCCCGAAGAGGAATTAGGTCAAGGATGTGGGTGGGTGGGCAAGAGGAGAGGATAGCATCTACCACCGAGCTTCCTCCTGGCTCCAGCAGCATCTCCACACTTCCCTTCCCTCTCCCCTCCCCCTGGTCCTGGGAGATTTCTCCCGGTATCCCCCCTCCCCCACACCCCACACCCCAGGCATGGCCACAGGGGTGGGGGTGGGGTAGGGGAGGCCAGCCTCAGCTGTCTGAAGGATGGAGGGGCTGGGGAAGCAGGGCTAGGTGCCCAGACGGCCGCGTGTGTGGGAGGGGATGTCCTCAGATGCCCTCCACCCGGCAGTCCCCGCTCTGACGTGGGTGCCCCCCCTCTCCCCGCCCGGATTAGTGGCAGCTTGGCCTGACTCTCCGGGGCTCCTTCCCCCGCCCTGTCTGCTGCCCACCCCTGGGCAGGGGGCTGCTCTGCCTGAGGGGCACTGTGCTTGCCCAGGTAAGGGGCTCTGGGGTAGAGAAAGGGCAGCCGGCTGAGTGAGGCTGTGCCTGTCAGCACGAGTGTGGAGTGTGTGTATGTCAGCATGTGTGTCAGTGCATGAGGGGTCGGTGTGGGCTAGGGCCGGGCCCCTGTGGGTCTTCGGGTGCTAGTCAGTCTGCCAGGTCTTCGGTCTGTTTTTGTGACCACACACTGGGTGGCTCTCCCCCCTGTGTTTGTGTCTTTTGTGTGTCCTTAGCTCTGCTCCATCCTCAGGCATAGCACAGCCAGCTACAAGGACTCTGGCCTGTGGCAGAGGCTTCTAAGGCAAGGATGGGGAATGTGGTGGGATAGGGGTGGTACCTCTCCCCACCTTCATTTCCACTAACCCTAAGCATTCCAAAGACTGTCCCGAGAGCTCTGGTCTAGTCCAGGCAATATAATCTGACAAGTAGATATGGTCACTGGAGGGGTGGGGGTGGGGATGTGTTCAGCTCCCCTGAGACAGCCCCCAGGAGAAGACAGCCACAGGCCCCCAGGACTCTGGGTATCCCAAGCTTCCACTCCGACCTCTTCCAGCCCTCAAGCCACAGGACTCTCCCACAAGCCTCCGCTAAGGTAGGCCAGAGGACTTAGACTGGGACCACAGGCACACACCAACCCACTACCTTGTCCTGGAGTCAGGCCGGGCACTGGAGGCCCCGCTGGAGCCTTGGCGCTCCAGTCCCTGTTAGACCCACCTCATTCATCTCCCATAGCACACTAGGGTCAGGGAGTGGATAAGAAAAGGAGTATGAAAAACTCAGCCATGTAAACAACTCCCGCTAGCCCGCCCCACCACAGACTTGGTCTCTGTGTAGGCGAGGGGCTAGCAGGATCTCTGTCAACAAGGCCCAAGCCTGAGCGGTGGCAGCTGGTACAGACCTCCTCTCCAGAAAGTACCCAGTTTCAATGGTTGGTGACGGGCTTCTTGCCTTCACTCCTGTCTGTCGAGAGAAAGACCCTGGGCTCTTCACGGAAGCCCCTAATTCAGGGTTGGTGGTGTGACTTGGGATCAGGTTGTGGCCACCAAAATTCATCCCTCCCACAGCAATGGGGGAGTAGGTGGTGTTGCTCCTGGTGCAGACTGGGCTCGGGGAGGCAGAGGAGTAGAGGGGCAGGAGGTGGGTGCCTTCGGGGAAGGGAAGCACCCGTTGGGCGTGTGGGTTTCTGTGTGTGTCTGAATCTGTCTGTGTGTGTCTGAATCTGTCTGTTTGTGTGTGTGTGCTCTGGAACCACCCCCGCAGAAGAGCAGGGATGCTTCCTCGGGTGGAGGGTGCCCTGTTTGCCCATTTCCTCTCCTACTCGCTGTTCCCTCCCAGGAGCCACTCCCATGGGCTCCTCTTCAGGCTGGGCCTGGGAGCACCAGGAAAATTGGGGATGGGGCAGCTGAGCAGGCAACCCCAACTAGAGCCTGCGAGGGTTGTGCGCTTCTGGTCCCCTCGCCTCTGGACACTTAGATCAGGGAACAGACCAGACGGCAGGTCCTCCCAGATTCCAAAGCGTAGCACTTTATAGCATGCGTGCCCGAAGAGGGATGCTGGGAAGGGGCTTGGGCAGTACGCCATAAAGAGGGGCTTGGCCAGGTGAAGATGAAGAATGAGGTAAGGAAGACACCAGCCACTGGGGTGTGCCCAGAGCTGAAAAGGACAGGGATAGAGTGGTCCAGCAGGCACGGGCCTGCTGGCGTGGGTCGCAGCACCCATCACTGACCCGTGAGAACCCGACTGCCCCTGCCAGCTCTGGCACTGACCCCTCCCTGCCGCCCCTCCCTAGCACCCCGGGGGGCACCCCGCCTCATCCTGGCCCGGTCCGGCCCCTCCCGCCCTTTGCTCCAGTTCCCGGGCTTGGCACCTATAGTGGGGGTGCTGCCCGCCTGCCAGGCTCCGGGCCGGGCCCACGGGAGGGTGGGGCGGCTGGGAAGCTGGCACACTGCCCCAGGGGAGCCTCTCTCGGCAGGCGCCCGGGTGCCGCGGGGGGGAGGGGGAACAAAGGGCTCATTCTCCCCGTGCGCAGCCGGTGGCATCGCCGGGGCGTTGGCGGAAGCCCCCGGGGCTCAGAAGGGGGCAGGCCCAGGCGGGGCCGCCGAATCACGGGCTCCTGTTTCCCGCAGGGTGCTGGAGGAGGAAACCGGCGGAGCAGCTTCCCCACTCTCAGTTGCGCGTCTGGCGATGGCGATCAGAGGTCCTGCTGCGCTCTCCGCTGCGCTTTCCCTCCATTAGCCGCGCTACGCGGTGCTGCGCCCTCGCTGGTGCCTCTCTCCTGGCTCACGGGATCGGCCCCCCATTTCCAGGCACGACCCCCTTCCCCGGCCCTTCGGCCTTTCCCCCCACTCAGCCATCTCCGACCCGGGGCGCGCGTTCCCCCCGGCCCGGCTCCTTCTCTCCCTCCGGGGACACCCGCTCCCTAGCCCCGGTCCGACCCTCCCCAAAGCGCAGCACGGAGTCTCGGCGTCCCATGGCGCAACCTACAGCCTCGGCCCAGAAGCTGGTGCGGCCCATCCGCGCCGTGTGCCGCATCCTGCAAATCCCGGAGTCCGACCCCTCCAACCTGCGGCCCTAGAGCGCCCCCGAGACCCTGGGGGAAAGAGAGCGCGAGCGCGCTGAGCAGACAGCGGGAGAACGCCCCGAAGCCGGCCGATGGGGAGCGAGTGCCCAGCGCCGGCTAGCACGACCGCCGCCCACACCGCGCCCGGCCTGTGAAGCCCAGGTAAGCGCCGAGAGGCGGCGCGTTCTGGGGTAATTGTAATGGGGGGGGGGGGATTTCTGAGCTGATCCCAAGGTGCAGGCAAAGGAATGAAATCAGTGCCTCTAAGAACTGAACGTTGCATCTTAACGTGGGAAAGTTAGGATGCCCGACTGAGGGGGTTGGACCGCGCGCAAGCTGCAGCTCCACAAACTCCTGGAGCCTCCGCCAAGGCTCCTGTATATCCATCCCTCTTGGGGAGTCCTCCGGTCGGCGATGGGGACAGTTTCGGGAGGGTTCAGCTGTTCTAGTGCCACCTGTCATCCTGGTCCCTCGCATGCGTGTTCAATTTTCCCTCGCTTGCGTCTCTCTGGGGCCCAGCCTGCTTTCCCCGCCTCCTTCCCTCCCAACTCCGGGCTGCAGTTAGCAGTGGTGCCCTGGCACTGCCGTTGGGCTTGGGCAGCTCGACCCACTCTAGTCTAAAACCTTTTAATCCCTTCTCACATGCTGGTTTACTCCTCCCCTTGGGAGCTGAGATCCTAGCCCCCAGCAGTTGTCCTGGCACTCTTTGGAGATGCCAAGAAACTAGAGGCCATGAAGAGGCAGAGTCAGGAAGCCCAGGTGTAGGAGAGACACCAGCCAGCAGCCCTGGCTAGCTGCCCTGCCCAGCGACTCACGAGTCTGCCAGGCCTGAACATCCCCGTCTTGCAAGCCTGGTGGGGCCTGGAGATGGGAGTGGGCAAGCAGCACTCCCAAAAACACAGCCTGAAGTTTAGAAAGGGACCTTTGGGTCCCAAGCCCCACTTTTACATATGGGTACACTGAGGCCCAGAGGAGAGAATGATCCTGCTGAGCATCCGAATAGCAGGTGATAGAGTCAGGGCCAGGATCCTGCCTCCTTGTCCTCCCACCTGAGTGTCTTCTACTGAATTAATCTTCTGCACTCTTGCTCCCTGTTCGTTTCTAAGACTTGTAACCAGAGCCCTAGCTCCATAAAGGCAGAACCTTTCACCCTAGGACTGACAACCTCCTATTGAATTTTGACCTCTCAAATTCAGATAGGGGCCAGAAGTTAGGAAAAGGTATCAAACTCCTGCCATGAAGCAGAATTCTTTTGGCCGCATGTGGAAGGCTGTTCTGTGCCCTACTGTGGCCTGGCACTTGCTTTACTGGTTTGAGCCTCTTTGGTATTCCCAGGGTGGTGCCTGTGGTTAAGGTACGTGGGGCATGTGCCAAAAGTTCATGCCTTCTCCTTATGCTGCAGGATCCCCCCTGGGAGAGCCCCATGAGGGCAGGAGAGTGATGGAGAGTATGCCCAGCTTCCTGAAGGACACCCCAGCCTGGGAGAAGATAGCCCCCGAGAACGGCATTGTGGGACAGGAGCCCGGTACCCCACCACAGGATGGCTTGCGCCATGGGGCACTGTGCCTAGGAGAACCTGCTCCCTTTTGGAGGGGCGTCCTGAGCACTCCGGACTCCTGGCTCCCTCCTGGCTTCCCCCAAGGCCCCAAGGACACACTCTCGCTGGTGGAGGGTGAGGGTCCTCGGAATGGGGAAAGGAAGTCCAGCTGGCTGGGCAGCAAGGAAGGACTGCGCTGGAAGGAAGCAATGCTGGCCCATCCACTGGCCTTCTGTGGGCCAGCATGCCCACCTCGCTATGGCCCCCTGATACCTGAGCATAGTGGTGGTCATGCCAAGAGTGACCCTGTGGCCTTCCGGCCCTTGCACTGCCCTTTCCTGCTGGAGACCAAGATTCTAGAGCGAGCTCCTTTCTGGGTTCCCACCTGCTTGCCACCCTACCTAATGTCTAGTCTGCCCCCAGAGCGTCCATATGACTGGCCTTTGGCCCCAACTCCCTGGGCATACCCCGGGGGCCAGCCAAAAGTGCCCTCTGCCTTCAGCTTAGGCAGCAAGGTGAGTGGTGGAATAGAATGGTGCATAGGGTTCAGTTGTCCCTAACCCTGAGAACAACCCAAACACTGGGTAGCTCTATCTCCCTGGCCCTTCCCTTCCCTTCCCTGCCCTGCCCTTGGGCCTCCGCAGCCGTTGACTCATCCATAGTTCACTCAGGATCAGTCAGGCCTTCCTTAGAAACTCTGCCCATGGAATGTGTGGCCTTATCGTGGGGACAGAAAGTGTGGGTGAAATGTGCAGGCTTCATAGCCTGTTTCTGGGGCTCCTTCTGACAAGACACCCCCCATGCCTAGAACACGGTTTTGTGTGTGTGTGTGTGTGTGTGTGTGTGTTTAATGTTTAGAGATCAAAGATGGGCATCATAATGCATGCCTATAATTTTAGTACTCAGGAGGCTGAGGCAGAAGGCTTGTGAGCTCCATGCTAGTCTGGACTACATAGAAAGATCCTCTCTTCAGAACCAAGACAAACAAAAGGGCATGAGGATCAAAACACAGAATTTTCTAGTAGGCCCTGATGTCCTTTGGCTGTGCCAAGCATTAGCCTCTGGAAAGCCTGGGAGAAGATCAGGGTGTATATAGGGGAGGGGGAAAGGGTAGCAGGGGAGCCACTTGGGAAGGTACCACTTACCTGACAATCTGTGAGTTCACCAATGACTCCTTATAGCTCCATTTTATTTTTAATAACTTCTGTTGTTAGTCCTGTTTGTTTTTTTTAAATGCTGGGAACCTACATTGGCACTAGCTTAATCCTTTCTCCTCTTTTAGGGCTTTTACCACAAGGATCCGAACATTCTCAGGCCATCAAAGGAGCCCTCGGCAGCACCAGAGTCTGGGTTGTTGGGCTTAGCCCCTGGTGGGCATCTCCAGCGAGCCTGTGAGGCAGAAGTCCCCTCACTTCACCAGAGGGATGGGGAGACAGGAGCTGGCAGGCAGCAGAATCTTTGCCCACTTTTCTTGGGGTACCCAGACACTGTTCCTCGGACCCCATGGCCCTCTTGTCCCCCAGACCTAGTTCACACTCTTGGCAACATTTGGGCTGGCCCAGGAAGTAATAGCCTTGGGTACCAGCTGGGACCACCAGTCACGCCAAGGTGCCCATCTCCTGGGCCTTCCACCCCTCCTGGGGGCTGTTGCTCATCCCATCTACCTGCCAGAGAGGGGGATCTTGGCCCTTGTAGGAAATGCCTGGACAGCCCAGAGGGAGGCAGCAATGGGCCAGGTGAATCGAGTGAAGAAAGGAACAAGGCTGGCTCCAGGGCCTGTCCACCAAGCCATCACACCAAGCTGAAGAAGACCTGGCTCACACGTCACTCAGAGCAGTTTGAGTGCCCAGGTGGCTGTCCTGGGAAGGAAGAGAGCCCAGCTGCTGGGATCCGAGCGCTCAAGAGGGCAGGCAGTCCAGAGGTCCAGGGAGCAGCCAGGGGCCCAGCTCCCAAACGCCCATCCTACCCTTTCCCAGGCACTGGGAGGCAAAGGGCCAGGGCTTGGCAGGAGGTACCAGACACATCCACAGGCAGCAAGGTGGCGGAGGCAGAGCAACAAGAGGAGCAGAAAGGTAAGGGGGTGACGGGCTGGAGGTTCCCTGTGAAGAAGCGGCAACAGGGCCAGCCTTTACAAGGGACTGAAGTCCATAGGCCTTTGTGATAGATCGTGCTAAGATGGTGGGTCTCCTTCCTGAATCACTACAGTGCTCTGGCTCCTAGTGTTGTCCACCACAGCCTCCTTGACAGTAGCTTCCATCCCTGCCTCTCGGTGAGTTGTCGGCAACGCAATGGCGTGGTCCATGGTAGAAACACAGCTGCCTCCTGACATGCTGATCAGTAACTTGTGACCTGAAGAAAGCTACTGCACCTCTGAGGACCTTAGTTCTCTCATCTATGAAAATGGTCCCTCCCTTATGAAGGCAACAGGAAGGCTTAAACGGCTCATCAGGGCACTGAAGGACTCGTGGCACTTAGGAAATGCCATGGTTATTTGCACCACAAATCCTAGTTTAGGCATTGCCTCTCCTGAAGAACCACTGTCAGCCTCTTTTGGCCAGCTGGATCACGAAGACTCAATTTGGACTTTCGGCATGACAGCCTTATGGGTACACCATGGACTCTTCTGCTACACTGTGTCCTTTACAGAGGGTTCCAGCAATCCTGGAGCCAGACTGGTTTCTGCAGGATCACCTCACTCTCAGCCTCTTGGACCACTGGGCCCACAGAGGACTGTCTCTGTGACTTGGCTCCTAAAGCCCTTGCACCTGGCATGGGTCTGTCTGCACCTTTGCATGCCTCGGTCTGGGCTGGGAAGCTGTTGGCCCCTCTGCTGTCTTGGGTTACAGCACCTGTGTTCTGTGTTGAAACTCTGGCCTTCTCACTTTCCAGCGCCCTCCGTCCACCCATCCGTCCACGCTGGAATCATCTCCTTATGGTGTCACATAGCCACTGAGCCGTTAGCCAAACCTATGAGAAGTCTATACTGGCTGGATTCTACCACGTGTGCAAGGACCATTGCTCAGGCTTCCCAAAGCCCTGGGCTGAACATGCTAAACCACCCCCCTCAGCCTCCATTCCTTCCAGGAATATCTCCAGCTACTGCTCAGCCTCCTGTGTGAAATTTATACCTGCCTGGTCCTCTTCCGGGTTCTGAATTAATCCTTACAAGCCTGGGGACCAGGGCCTGAATTCGCTGCAAGCGGACAGAGTAGTTGCTAATTCAGGGCTTTGGCTAGCATAAGCCCTAGAAACTAAATTCCCTAAGCAGCTGTATTGTCTCCTCAGGACCCCAAGAAGGCAGGACTAGCCTCCAGGAATCCAGGCTTGTGGATACATCTTGCCAGGCTCACTTAGCGGGTATCACTCAGTGCCAAAGCTGTGCCCATGCAGCAGCTGGAGACATAGGAGTCCTGACCAGCCAGCAATCACATAGGTGAGTGCTGCCCCTGACAGTCAGAGTCAGCAACAGCCCCAACCCCTCTGATGGGCTCCCTCCTCAAACCCTTGTGT